CCCCCCCCCCCCCGCTTCCCACCCCCCAAATGCACATGACCTAGCCAACCGACAAGGAATTTACGCCATATAGCCCTTATGTCTGCCTACTCCAACCCCCTCCGCTGCCTCGAGCTAAACACGTAACAAATCACCCTTCCCCTCCCTCCCACTTGCCACATTCGAACTGCCGCCAGTCGTTGTGGGGTACCCCAATCCTCCATCGCCAGAAAAGATTTTTTGCAAATCACGTATGACGCCGGTCGAGCCGAGCCGAGTCGAGCTTTAGTAATTGCCTAGTGCCAGGTTGTAGACTTGTCTTTTTGTCCAATTCCTGATGCACGTCTGGACGTGTTCCCTTGCTTGAGTTGAGGGTAGTAGGGGAAGTGAGGGTGCGGGGAGACCGCTTACTCATTTGCGAAGATCTGTGGTTGTTCGCAAGGCAGGGCTTTTTGCAGAGAACTGGAGTTCCATGGGAGATGTGCTCCCTTCTCTCCTTTATGCCTTTTGTTGCTTAATCCAGGCTGTTCAGTGTTTTCAGCAGTTCCCCGCGTTCTCCTTCCTCCCCGTCCTTTTTTGAATTAGATCTTGAAATCACCGTATGCTGTATGTATGATGATCCCATTTTTCTCAGTTATTTTATCGGTAGAATAACTGCGTTAACTGCTGCATTAAAACCTCTGCAGTTTAGCCCAGTCACAATAAGAAGGAAAAGGAGGGGAGCGGGGAGAGGAAACGTATATAAAACGATGCAGTTTTAGCTGGAATGAAATTGTAATGAAAGTATTCTTTGACGACCCAAATGGGCCAAGCTAATAATCGTGCAACGTCCATTATTAAGAAAGCTGATATTTATTAGTCATTCAGAAGCGCATTCGCCTTTGAATGAGATGTAAAATGCTGGTACTAAGCGATACGAATAAGCTACTCGTTACGCGCTAATCGATACGTTGATCCGAGAGCTGTATTATGCCTGCAAGTGCCTAAACCACAAAACATCCGGCCACTTTCCAGAGTGGGAATATACTAGCTTTAGATATGCCGTAAAATGCAAGCAACTTGAAGCCTAAATCTGTAAAATGTCTAATAATGAGGCACTCAGATCGGATCAGTGGCATCGAATAAGTGCATAGAAAATGCATAGCGAATCAACAGGAGGTCGAAGAGGGTCAGCGTAGCTGGGTCCTGCTTCTCATGGTCAGTCACCTAGATCGCTTGCTGGACTTCGGTTCCTTTAAGCCTTCTTTCACTTATTTTAGCTTTCTTTTCTGTGTTCGGCTAGATCCGTTACCACA